CTACTTTTCTTTCCTATCCCTCTCCTTGTATCTAATAAGAGTCTTGATTAGCCAGCCAGCATAATGCCCATCGCTATTGTAAGCTTCTGACTAGAGAGGAAAATAAAAACAATGCCCCCAAAAGCCCAATGCTGGCTTGCCAGGTTTTGGAGTGGTTAATAAGACTATGTTCCATCCCTGAGTTTCTTGAGCAGTGAGATAGCAAGAGATGGTCAACACCAGAGACAAACTATTTTCTTTTTGCCGCTCTTTTCTCTTACCTCTCGGGGGTGTTAGTCTTGTTTTGTCTTTTAGGAAATGGGATTGGACTTTAACAGCAGCTGCAGCAACAATGGCTTCGGTGCCTCTCAGCTAACTTTTTCTCTCACCCCCCTGCCCACCCCATATACAGTCATCATCTTCTTTAATACCATATAAAAGACTGTCAGAGGGATTTACCTTCAAAAAATTCTCTCCAGCTAAAGGGAATGAGAGCAAGGGAATATAAAGTGAAAGCCTTGCCTAGTACTTTGCATTTCAAATGCTTTAACTCCTTTTTCCTGTGTCTTTAATATAAGGGTAAAATGTTCCTTTCCCCTCTCCCCTCCCGTGGCTCTAAGAAGGCTGAGGTCTCTGCATTACTAAACCCCAACCTTGTACAGTTTTACATTTCTCCATTGATAGGAAAAAAATAAAAAATTCATGCAATTTGGGAAGAAATATTTGACCATCACTAACGTGATACTGAATGGAAAACATAATGAGCATGGTCCTGCTGTTGCTGCACCACATGAGCCGAAACCCTTATTTACAGTGCATTGTTTATTTCCTTGGCAGTAGCCCAAAGGCTAATTAAGAATCTCAGTTTTCATTTCTGTGAGCAGCATCACAGTGAGGATTCAGGAAGAAACAATATCAATAATTCCTTTGCAAACAGCAAAAAAGGTTTGCTCAGTAATCGAATGCCTGAAGAAAATTGGAAGCAAACTCCATGGTTTCTTTGACTCATAAAACTGAAGCCAGCCACCGACAAAAAAAAAAGGAGATCTTCATTTCACTGCTAACAATTAGAGATGGACGCAGGCCTCAGAATGTGAGGTTTCAAACTCCAGTGCTCGAGGCTAGTTTGGTTCAGCCCACCATCAACAAAAGGAGCAATTTGAAAATTTGGAACCAGTTTCGTATTTGGATTTCAAAGAATCCCAAAGCACAGGAGTGTTCAGCTGCAGAGATTTGGTTGAGGGCTTATCTTCACTCGCAATAGGTCTATGAATGCAGTAAAGGTTGGAGTCATGGTGAGTTAGGAAGAAAAGTGTAATGCAAAATAAAACAAAGCTGGAGCAGGAACAGATATTGAAGCACAGCTGGAGGAAGAGCACTGGACTGCATTGATGTGCTCTGGAAACTTCTGCTTCGGTAAAGGATCCAAATAAGATTTGAAACAAAATGTCTGACATCCGGCTATTGAAGCAGCCTTCTAAGCATTGCAGTGTCATGGTGTTTTGTGTTTATTACCTGGATTCCTGTGCGGCACCAGGGCTATATTGTGCCTTTGGTCTATGTGAGCAGATATCACTGATGTCAGTGAGAACAGTACATAACAGGGTCCTGCTGCCTCCAAAGACTCCTGTTTCCTTAATTTACTGCCCTAAATCTACTTCCCCATTCATGCTGCCAACCACGTCTTAATTAACAATATTCTTACATCTATAGACAAGCATCTCTGTGACCCTACATGACTATGTAGCACTTTAAAGACTAACAAGATGGTTTATTAGGTGATGAGCTTTCGTGGGCCAGACCCACTTCCTCAGATCAAATTGTGGGAGAAAATTGGCACAACCATATATACCAAAGGGATACAATCAAAACAAGTGAACACACATAAAATTGACAAATCAGATTTTAGAACAGAGGGGGAGAGGTTAGTGTCTATGGGTATGTCTACACTACCACCCTAGTTCGAACAAGGGTGGCTAATGTAGTCAATCGAAGTTGCAAATGAAGCCTGGGATTTAAATATCCTGGGCTTCATTTGCATCTTGCCGGGCACCGCCATTTTTAAATCCCCAGTAGTTCGGACTCCGTGCCCGCGGCTACACGCGGCACGGAGTAGATAGTTCGAATTAGGCTTTCTAATTCAAACTACCATTACACCTCGTGGGCTTCATTTGCAATTTTGAATGACTACATTAACCAGCCTAGCTCGAACTAGGGTGGTAGTGTGGACATACCCTTAGTGATTTAAACTTTTTAGCCACCCCCGAGGCTGGCAAAAGATTCCAGTTTCCACTGGACTAGCAAAAAGACTCCTGATGGAATCTGCTTTAGGTCTATCCTTAGAACATGCGGCCGTGGGGGGGGAGGGGTAGGAGGGGCGTGTGGAGAAACAGGTTGAACCAATCTTACAGCTCACACCTGGCAGGCATGAAGCAGGCTGGCTTAAACCCTTTCCCCGCAACTCAGTACACTCCCCCCCGTTCTAAAATCTGATTTGTCGATTTTATGTGTGTTCACTTTTTTTGATTGCATCCCTTTGGTATATATGGTCATGCCAATTTTCTTCCACAATTTGATCTGAGGAAGTGGGTCTGGCCCACGAAAGCTCATCACCTAATAAACCATCTGGTTAGTCTTTAAAGTGCTGCATAGTCCTGTCTTTTGTTTAAGCAAGACCGGACTAACACAGCTACATCTCTATTGCTATGTGACCCTACGTATAATCCTTGTGCTGCGCTCCCTTCTCCCTATTCTACCCTTTATCACTGGGCGGCACACTTGGATTTTCAGCCAGCACACTGGGGCAAGGACTGTGTCTTTTCTAGGTTCTGTTAAGTGCCTAGCACATTTCAGGCACCACAGGCTCAGTTCTGCCATCCTTACGCTTACATGGATAATAGCCCTGTGGGGTTGAATGAGGATTTGTGCGTGAGTGAACACTATTCAGCATTAGTGGGACTGGCAGCATAGGATTCTGCATAAACAAATGCAAACAACATAGTAATAAATAATAATGAAGTGGAACTCTTCAGTAAATATTCAGATGAGGATTTGAATATGGGCATTGAGTCTGAGTTCAGGGAGCTTCTTGAACCATAATCGAGTTGGCAGGGTTAATAAAACTAATTAAAATTCATGGAGCTTTATTCATGTCATTGTAGGTTTTTAAATCCCCTCCTCTTTTTTTTTTTTTTTAAAAAGCTATATATTAAGGATGAATGAATCATCAAAGAGTTAAGCTAACATCAATTGTGTGCTGGTATGGTACTGCATCTCAGCTGATGTATAAATCTGCTATGCCTAGTTACAGCTTGAGAGGTTCTAGACTCTTACTTTTCCTGCATTTATCTGCAGTTGTTTTTCATTCTGCTGTATTTTGCACCTATGTTTACACTAAATATTGACTTGGCTCCTTTATTCCCATATTCAGTCTCACCCAACCATGGGGCAGAACCAATACATACTGAAGTCTCAGTCAGCATTTCAAAATCTATGATGTTCAAAAGGGTTCCAAATTATGCAAATTGAGACCAGCCATCCCTGATAAATGCAATCACTGGGTAAAATACCTTTTGTCTCATTTCTTACCAGAACTTTGGAATTCTTGACAATCCTGCTTGCTTCCCTTACAGCTTTGTTCAGTCCCATCTAAAACAGCAAGATAAAAACAAAACATATCAATTTTGCATTACCTGTACATTTTCACCAGAAATATTTTTCTGTCAGTCATGGCACAAAAATGAAGGATGGATCTACAAATAAATCATTCACTACTTTTCATTGGACTAATCATCATCACTGTTTAGGAAACTCCAGTTGCAAGAGGTTGTTCATTTTGCTCAAGGGCATCATTTAATTTCTTAGATGAAGTCCAGCTCAGTTTAAGATCTGGGATTCATAACTTGGCTGCACTGTATTGTGACTCATAAAGAAGCACAATCTTCTTATTGGATGTAATTTGGCCAGGAAAAGGGTGGAAGGATGCAAGAACCACCTCGTTTCCAGAAAACAAGGGGTTTTTCTCAGTTCAGATTTGCCATCTGTCATAGCTCTGCAGAGTCCCCTGTTGGCTGAATGTGGCCACTGCCAGTTTGCCCATCTCAGTTTCCCTGCCAGAGGTGGTTCGCTTCAGCTCTCCATTCACTATTTTGTTCTGGCAATGAGACTTGGCCAGAGGACTGAGCCACATCAAATGCAACCCCTTCTGGGGTACTAACACTGAAACAAAAACGTCTCTACCACACTAAAAAGTCCCTCAGCTCTTTGGGGCTTCTCTTTAGAGTACTTGTGGAATCCTGTTCCCAGCCTATTTCTGGGCTTGTTGCCTTGTGCCTTTCCTGGCTTTGGTATATCACTCTGGGTCCCCAGGCTGGCTCCCCTGGAGTATCCTTTTCCTTACAGATGTTGTCTCAGGGCTTTTCACAACAGCCTGTGGTTCCAACTCACAGGATCTCTT